ACATCATTTTACTTGAATAATGATTTTTTTCATCATTATTATTATTATTCTACTTTATTCTTCATTGTATTCTACTTTATTCCACTTTACTTGAGTTTCAACTTCAGAATCTGGCCTTTAAACAGCAGTCAGGGTTGATCTCCTCTAGGACTGACCAGTTTGATAGTCTTGCAGTCCAGGGGACTCGCAGAAGTCTTCTCCAGCACCATAGTTCAAGGTGTTCAATTCTTTTGCGCTTAGCCTTTCTTATGGTCCAACTTTCACAGCTATACATTGCAACTGGGAAAACCATGACCTTGACTATACATACTTTTGTTGGCAGGGTGATGTCTCTGCTTTTTAGTATGCTGTCTAGATTTGCCATTGCTTTCCTCCCCAGGAGCAAGCATCTTTAATTTCTTGGCTGCAGTCCCCATCTGTGGTGATCTTGGAGCCCAGGAAGATAAAATCTGTCACTACCTCCATTTCTTCCCCATCTATTTTCCAGGAATTGAGAGGGCCAGATGCCATGATCTTGGTTTTCTTAATGTTGAGTTTCAAACTTTTGCACTCTCCTTCTTCACCTGCATCAAGAGGCTCTTTAGTTCTTCTTCACTTTCTGCCATTAGAATGGTATCATCTGCATATTTTAGGCTGTTGATATTTCTCCCGGCAATCTTAATTCCAACTTTTGACTTATCTAGCCCTGCCTTTTTCATCATGTGCTCTGTATATAAGTTAAATAGGCAGGGCGACAGAATACAGCCTTGCCGGACTCCTTTCCCAATTTTGAATTTTGTTTTTAAACTCCAGGAGAGATAGTTTGTTTCATTCAGCCATGATACCACAAAACCTCCTCTCCTAGGGGTGAGAGGGATCTGGGATATATATTGTATAAAATTTTTAAAACTTTTAATTAAAAAAACTCCTCCCATAATACCAACAGGGGCCATTTTTTGACTTCTACCTTGTATAACCACAAGCCACACTCAAAACCACAATGTCCAGTTCCTCCAACTCTGGTCAGGTTCTCACTTGTTTTATCTAGGCTTTCCTTCATTCTGGGTTTTACTTTACTTTGGGCTTTTCTTCAAACTGGGCCCATAAGCTGTTTGTTTATAAAATATAAATTATTGCAAGCTTTTTCTTATTTTCTTTGTATGATAACACAGGAGCATAAATATCTAACAGTGGTTTGTTAAAAGAACTGTGGTTTAATATACAATATGAAACAACAACATTCAGGGAGCATACAGAAGAGAAGGTAGTCAGTTACGTACAAAACAGTTCAAGTGAGCTAAAGATTCCAACTGTCATTACCCTCAGACAGTCTCTTAAAGCAGCGGTTCTCAACCTGTGGGTCGTGACTCTTTTGGGGGTCGCACGAGCCTTTCACAGGGGTCACCTAAGACCATTGGAAAACACATATTTCCGATGGTCTTAGGCAGGGTTTGTCAACCACCTTCTCTCCGTCCCCCCCCTCTGCTCTACCTCACTTGTTTGTGGAAAATATGCTGCTTGGCAGCAGTCTGCATGAACTCTACCAAATGTGCCCTACTGGGGCGCATGAAGAGCACAGATGCAGAGCAAGGCCCCGCCCTCCCCAGAGACTCATTGTGCAGCAACTGGATTGACTTCTCATGCACGCAGATCAGCGAAGGGGAGGCTGCTGTAGCACCCAACTCCTGCGCCCATCAGCTGGCAACCCCTGAACTTGCGCTTGTCAGCCGGGAGGTCTGGTGACAGCCGCCAGTCTCCTTTGCCACCCTGCCCGTCCTCGTCTCCTCCTCTGCCCATTCATGTTGAGCCCGCTGGGGCTTGACAGGGAGAGAGGGAGGGAAGGAGGAAGGGACTCCTCCTCCTCTCCTAAGCTTCAAAGCACGACCAACTTCCCAAGGGTGCCACAATCCTCACGAAAGCTGGGGGAAGAAGCAAAGGGGGCGAGAAAGCTCACGGCGGGCTCGAAGGAGCACCTGTCAGCATTGGTGATGAGAAATTCTCCACAAACCCAGGGAAGGGGTGGAGAAAAGGAGCCCCCTTTGGGAGGAAACTGCCACCTTCTTCTTCTTGGCTTTGCACTCTTCTGTTCCTCAGCAGCCAGTCTGCCAAGCCTCTGCTGGCTGGAACTTCCTTTCCTTCCCTCCCTCTTGGTCTCTTCCTCCTTCCCTCCCTCTCCCACTGTCCCTTCCTTCCTTCCTTCCTTCCTTCCTTCCTTCCTTCCTTTCTTCCTTCCTTTTTCCTCCCTCTTTGTCCCTCCTTCCCTCCCTCTTTCCCCTTGTCCCTTCTGTCCTTCCTTCCTTCCCTCTTGTCCAAGATCAGAGCGAGTCTCTACAGCTGATCTGCACTTCTGCAGATGTAGCTGCTCTCCTTGGCTCCTGCCCAGCAAACTTGCTCAAGCTTTGCTAGAAAACATGCCACTTGCTAATTTAGCAGAAGCGCGAATCAGCTGTAGCCCAGCGCTGATCCTGGCGCTTCTGTTAACTTAGCAAGTGGCATGTTTTTCGGCAAAGCTGAGCAAGTGAGCTGGGCGGAGCTCTCCTCTGTCTCTGCCTGTGCACAGGCAGGTTTGCCGGCAGCAAAGCCCCCAGCCACACTGGCAGCCTATCCCCCTCCCCTTGTCCCTTCCTGGGCACGGAGGGAGGGAGGAAGGAAGGGACGAAAAGCGAGGGAAATAAGGAGCAATGAGAGAGGGAAGGAAGGAAGGAACAATGGAAGGAAGGGACAAAGGGAAGGAAGGAAGGAAGGAAGGAAGGAAGGAAGGAAGGAAGGGACAAGGGGAGAGAGGGAGGGAAGGAGAAAGAGACTAAGAAGGAGGTAAAGGAAGGAAGGAAGGAAGGAAGGAAGGAAGGAAGGAAGGAAGGAAGGAAGGAAGGAAGGGACAAGGGGAGAGAGGGAGGGAAGAAGGAAGAGACTAAGAGGAGGGAAGGAAAGGAAGGAAAGAAGGAAGGAAGGGACAATGGGAGAGAGGGAGGGAAGGAGGAAGAGACTAAGAAGGAGGTGAAGGAAAGGAAGGAAGGAAGGAAGGAAGGAAGGAAGGAAGGAAGGAAGGAAGGAAGGAAGGAAGGAAGGAAGGGACAATGGGAGAGAGGGAAGGAGGAAGAGACTAAGAAGGAGGTGAAGGAAAGGAAGGAAAGAAGGAAGGAAGGGACAATGGGAGAGAGGGAGGGAAGGAGGAAGAGACTAAGGGAGGTGAAGGAAAGGAAGAAAAGAAGGAAGGAAGGGACAAGGGGAGGGAAGGAAGGCAGGCACCCACCTCAGTCCCATCCCAGAGACCCACAGATTCCTACCCACAGGCACTCTGCAACCTGAGTGATCAGCTGGCCATGCCCCCTGGCCATTGATCACATGACCCTGGGACACTGTGAATGTCATAAGTATGAATCAGTTGTCAAGCATCTGAATGTAAATCACATGACCCTGGGGATACTGCAACAATCATAAGTGTGAAAAATGATCATAATTCGGTTTTTCAGTGCTGTTGTAACTTCTAACAGTCACTAAGCAAATTGTTGTAAGTCGAGGACTACCTATACTTTCCCATTTTTTCCTTTTTTTGGGGTCAAGTTTTTGATACCCCCGGCCAGCTGGATGGGGGGGTTGGGGGTCACCACAACATGAGGAACTGTATTAAAGAGTCACGGCATTAGGAAGGTTGAGAACCACTGTCTTAAAGGGATACTACTCCCAAAATACTTTGCTGGCTTACTTTCTGTATATCATCTCTGCCGGTCAGCTACTAAATTATAATCACCTTGACAATTCCTAAGTGTTCTCGTTCAAATCCCACTGCCGAAAAAGCAGCTTTGGGAGCAAAATAAGATGATTGTCGGCAGGAAATGCCGTTCACTACACCATTTAAGAGGAAGACACAATATTGAAATACTATTAATCATCTTTTTTTCCCTCCCTTCTACTTTGGGGCGGGTTTACTGTTGTTTCTTATATAGTTTTTAAGTTGTCCGCTGTATTGTGAGTTTGTTTGTATTGTGAGCTTGAAGTATTTTGTATTTGCACAAAACAAAATGGAATGAATGAATGAATGAACGAACGAACGAACGAACGAATGAATGATAATTATGCATTGAGTTTAGAAAAGCAAATATATGGTTAAATTGAGATTTCTTTTATTTGCCAAATGTTAGAAGCCAAATAGCATTAATTACAACTTAAATTTGATTATTTTGTCAGAAAAATCCAGACACCTTCAAATAAATCCTATTCATATCAACAGTTTGAAATACAATTTCATAGGTATATGTGTTATCTACATGAATTGTAATGAAGTGCTCCTTTCTAAATTTTACTGATCATTTTAAAGCAAGAGGCAGCATAAGTATTCCTAATGTCTATATCAGTGATGGCGAACCTTTTAGAGACTGAGTGCCCAAAAACCACCCTGCCTGCCACCCTGTGCCCCGCCTGCCCGTAGGGCCACCCACCTCCACTGCCCGTTGCAACAGGTCACCCAGGTGGCTCAGCAGTGCCATGGTGGTCACACCCTTCACCCACACCCTGCAGCATCATCTGTGCATGATGGAGCGCGAGGGTGGAGTCTTGTCCCTGCTACCCAGCTGTCATGTCCTTGGCTGATCTGCTCTGTGCAGCTGCACCCGGGGACAACTCTCCTCCGGGAGGGCTGCTGGTAAGGAGGGGGACATGGGGGAAGGCAGGGCTGGGGCGAAGGCACACGTGCCCACAGAGAGGGCTCTGAGTGCCACTTCTGGCACACATGCCATAGGTTCACCACCACTGGTCTATATGTTTGCTTGAAAAATAACTAAATAAAAGTAATGTTTACATTTGACCACATATAATTTCTACTGAAAATTGCCAAAATGAAGTAAATGACACTTATAAAAAATAATATATATAATAATGAACAGTATACAGATTTTTAAAAATAATATACAGGTATATGAACCAAATATATATCAGACTCACATTTTTAAAAATAGTGCACTATTGCTCTTAATTTTAATTTTTAATTTTTTCTTCTGTTCTTTCTCCCTTACATGCTGCAGTTGCTAACATATTATGGAGAGAGGAAGGTACTATTATTTTTTTCTCCTTTCTATAATAATGAACATGTCTCATATACATGTAATTTCTTTCAAGCACACAATAGCTATAGTTATTATATTTTAATTATGTCTTCATTATTTTAATTATATCTTCATAAATTGCTGTTTCAATTTAAATTGCTTGTCATTGCAAATAATGAAATGTGGTTATTTTCATTCAGAAAAAAATTCAGTATCTATGGCCCATATTATATGTATTATCACAAGCAAATTCCAATGGAGGATTTCCCCCCCCCCCAAATATGCCCTTCTGCTTTCATAAATCATCTAGCTAATCATGTTATATATTGTCAGAATATTGACTGAGGGATATAAATCATCTTTTTTTATAAAGAATGATATATTGTGAATCTTCTAAAAAAAATTGCATTATCTGGTATCTTGAAGTTACAAACCTATTGATCTTTTAAACTTGCAAAATTGCCAAATAGATAAAAAGGAAACTACAGAGCTTCATGCCTAATAAATTACTTCTAATAAATAATATATAAGAATGGACTTAAAATTCAAATATATTTTAAATAGAAATCTCACAATTTAAAAAAGATGTTTCTTGCACACAAATCCTGTTTGGATTATCCCAATGAAATATTTTAAGCATCAACATTCAACTTAAATGCATATGATATAGCAAAGGACTAGTTAAAATTTTGAAACAACAGATTCCAAAAAGCTGATGAATTGAACTCAAGTTTAAATAACAATAAAAGTGACAGAGATAAATCTTTTAAAACATATAACATTTTATTTGTGTTTCATAGAGCCTATGAAACACAAATAATATATGTTTTAAGAGATTTGTGATTTTGAAATATTAAGTTTTACTGAATCTAATAGTAAGACTCATTCACAAGGTCATCTTCTTTTTATGGTCTCCTACTCCTTTGCTTCTAACAGCAGTTTGATCTGCAGATGTTATTTTGTCACTGTTCCATAGGATGAAAATATTCACTTATTGATTTCTTTGAACAAAACTATAAAAGCTGCCTAGATTCATCCAACTCATGCTCCAACCTCTTAACTATAGTATTTTTATTAATTTAAATTTATCTCCATTTGATATAAGACAGGGATATGTTAAAATGAATCATAGAAACATGGAGAAAGATTGGGGACACATTAAACCCTTATATGTCTTTGATATTGGTAACGTTTTTATTCTTTCATAGTCAGAACAGAACAGAATACCAGAGTTGGAAGAACCTTGGAAGTCTTCTAGTCCAACCCCCGACTCAGGCAGCAAACTCTATATCATTTCAGACAAATGATTGTCAAACCTCTTCTTAAAATTTGTCCAACAGAAGACAATATATGTAGTTCAAGACTGAACTGTTGGGTTCTTAGTGCTCTCTAAATCTGGTTGTTCTCTTGTAGATATTTCATTATCATGTTAGTTAATGCCATCAATATGAAGGACAGTGGGTTTTATTGGATGTTTATATATAGGAGCTTGGCCTGCCTGTTTTATTGAAAGTGTGCTTCCTTCTTTATGGTACCTTAATTAGTGTATGGTTTCCTCTAATTGCTTATCTAATCCTGGGCAAGAGGAAGCGCTGGGGCTGGAATGTGTTCTAGGAGATTTGTTTCCTTCCTAGGGTTTTAACTGTGTTTTTGAAATGTTTATTGGTGATAGATTTGTCTGAATGTCAAGCTTGTAGAAATTCCTTAGCATTTTGTATTTTCTTGATCTAAGCTCTTCAGTTTCCCAACTGAAACTGGCTAAATCTGTTCTGTTACAGACTTAAGGAGTTTTCATTATGTGTTCTTTCTGCCCATTGGTATGGATTCAGTCTGCTAGTCTTCTACCTGTCTGCCTACATAATGGATGTTACATTGTATGCTTTAAATAGTTTAAAAAACCTTGGGTCTCTAATGTACCATAGTTTCATCTGCTAATGACAATATCCAGAAAGATAGTGCATCGTTGTTTCCTTATTCTCCTGTACATTTTATTATTTTATTAATACTTTGATTGTCTTCTCTAATTGCTTCTTTTTATTATGATGAAAGTGTTATTTAAATAACAGAACCATATTTTCATTTGTATGTGTGAAAGTGTTACTGCTACTAGACATTGCATCATGGTCTCAGCTATGACTCCTAATAGTGGTATTTCCATGGGTGTTCCTATGTTTGGTATATTTGTTGATCGAACTAAAAGTAGGTGGCAAGATGAAAGTCAGTGTATGAGTTCCATAGGTCTTGATATTTCAATCTTAGTGTACTCTATTGTACTTAATGTTGTACTTAGTGTTGTATAGTACTGCTGCAATGGATTCTATTGCTAGTTCTGTATCTATGGATAGGAAGAGTGCTGGACATTACATAAAAACTATAATTTCATCCTCTTCTGTTCTTAGGTCTTTGATTTTCTGGAGGCAATATAGCAGGGGTGTCAAACTGCTCGCCCATGGGCGGACACTTCACCAGGAAACCATGCCCACCCCATTGCCGGCAATGGGAAAAAAGCTCCGATACGTTGCGTGACATTATGTGATGTTGCGAATTTGACATGTCTGCAATATAGTGATGAATTGATAGACTATTCCCTCCTATTTATGAGAAGTCCAAGTTTTTGGTGAATTCATAGCTATAATGTATGTTGGGGACCCTGATAGTGATATGTTTGGACAAAATGGGCTTATGAAGTTTTAGGTATTTCATGGCAATATTTGAAAGACATTTGTATTCTTGTTCACTCAAATTCAAGATTACTTTCAGAAGCCTGATTTACTCCTCCCTGAGTCTGGAACAGAGACAAAAGGTCTAATAGCCAGAAGTATTTGATGTATGATTTGCAGCCTTTTAATCATTAGATATGCAGATTCAACAGAAAGGACTATAAAGAGAATATAGTATTGAATATATTTCAGTGGGTAGGAAACTAAGAGGATATATATGGATGTCTGAATGGGTCTGGTGTGTTTATACCCTATTTTTAATAGGATTTGTAGTAAACTGTAAAACTTATTAAGTTTTGAGATATTTTTCTTTATGTCTCTTTTTATAATGAATTCTTGTATTTAAATTCTTCTTGAGTTATTTTTTACTGTGATGGTCGGCATTATAATGTGTTTCAGAAAGTGTACCTGGTTATCTTTGATTAAGGAAATTGTTTATAAATAGTTGAGAGAAAACAAAATAACATCTGATCATGAACTGATAATGTTATTTAACCTGATAATGAAAGGTCTGCAGGAAGACATCCAAGCTCAGAGAATACCAAGAACCCAGTTTGTCATTCCAAATGACAATAAAATTGCTTCTTTGCTTAAAAAAATACTTGGGTGTTTATCTATCTGCTGGATCACTCTCTAGATCAGTGGTTCTCAACCTTTTTAATGCCACGACCCCCAACCGGTCGTAAGTCGAGGACTAATCAACCGGTCGTAAGTTGCAGACTACTCAACTGGTGCAGCATCTTTTGCAGAATGGGACTTTTGGTGGGCTCAGCAGGGCAGAGACAGCCTGGATAATTCCTATTGGCTTTTGAAAGCCAATAGAATTAGACTCTATTCAAGAGAGTCTATTTTATTGGCTTTCAAAAGCCAATAGAATAAAAGGGAGTAGTACAGCTAAGGAAAAGGGGGAAAAATGGTGGACTGCGTTGTTTGGCGACCCCTGTGAAATGGTTGTTCGACCCCAAATGGGGTCCTGACCCACAGGTTGAGAGCCACTGCTCTAGATGTATGAATGGTTATAAAATTAAATACAAATATTGTCTCTATTCTTCACCTTCATTAGTTAGAAATCAAGGAAATTTCTAAATGGGAATAGAAATGCAATAAGAATTTTATATCCTTGTAAATTGCCTATAGTTATTGCAGGCTCTGTATCTGTGAAAGTTTGAACAATTTGTGGTACTTAAAATAATTATATGAAGCAGGGAGTTTCCCCTTATATTCTTACAGAAAAAAGTTACAAAGGATTTTACTGGCAGTAGATTTGGTGTGTCACTGTCCCTGTATCGGTTAACTAATGGATACTAGTCTGAAGGAAGTATTTAATGTCTTTTCTATCTTAGAAAAAGTGGGAAGTACACCCCAAAATGTACTATGACCAGAAGTGTATGCCATATTTTTAAATATGTTGAAAAGCTGATATACCCAAGTAAACCAATCATTTTGGAGGGTAGAAATTTTTTCTTGGTGTTTTCTTACTAATTAAATTAAATTCATTTCCATTGCTGGATCTAATCTTAAAAAAATTGTACAAAAATTTACCAGGTCAGAAATCCAGTCCTAAAAGTATATGTCCTGCTCAACACTAGTTTTCATTTTGGTATCCTTTGAGATATATTATCTTAAAAAATACCATCCCTGACACTCTAGTTGTCAGATACAGATGGTCCACTAATACTTACCCTGGCAGAACTATGTTTTCCGAGATTGGACAATCATTTGTCTGAGTTTCCTGCCTGTGCAGGGGGTTGAACTAGAAGACCTCCAAGGTCCCTTCCAACTCTATTATTCCATTCTATTCTAAACTAAAGTCAAGTCATGATTGACTATATGTAAAATGCTATTTTAAAAGGCATATTTTAAAATATCATTATTTTCTATGGCATCACAGAACTTTAATATTTTTAGTCCCAGATATAGGATAATGACATGTACTGTATAAGGGTTTGTTTCCATTTTACTTAAAAAAATTCAGAGTGACATTCATAAGGTCATTTGTTTGTCATTGAGGGTATTACATGAACTCTTGAATTTACATTTTAAAAAGCCCTATAGAATCGGACTTACTAACTTCTCATGCATTAACAAATCACCCTCTTTGGCTTCTAATTAAGGCTCTGTTTAATCATTTAATTAGGGCTATGTTTAATATATTTTAACATGTTTTTTGCTCCTAAGGTCTGGGAATTGGTAATATGTTCTATGTGTTTTATGAAGATGGAATCAAAGTGATACAACCAGTAGAGTGTGAATTCCAGAGACACATCAAGCCTAATGAAAAGCTCCTTGGATTTCAGGCAAGTATTCTTGAAATATAGTTATTAGGTTTTTATTTTTTACCTCAGTAATGAACTCTGCCAAACACTGAAGATGTTCTTTCAAACAAAAGAATGAAAGACGTTCTTCATTATCAGTGTATTTTTTTTAAGTGTTTGTTTGGGTTTTGTCAGTGATCCTTTGTTCCCCCCAAAAAAATCCTGGTTCCAAATAAGTGAGAATATAATAGTTGAATTAATGCTGTTCTATGAAGGTTTCCTTAAATATTTGCAGAAGATGTGTTACGTCAAAATATATCATCAGTGTTAAAATATGGGAGTGCAACTTATAGCAACATTAATGGCTATCATTGGCTTTAAATGATATGTCAGGGTGTGTATGTAAATATAGATAAAGCAGACTAAAGAAGTCACACATCTGGAAGAAATGTTAAATTAGATTTAATTTAAAATTTATATTGCATAAAATTAGACTGAATTAAATATTTAATTATTATTGATGTTTATTGATAAATTCTAGTACAGCGTAATAAAGTATTGAGTTAAATTTCTCATAACAACATATACACAAGCAAAGCTCTGAGATTATGATAATTTTTCTCATGTCATTTGTAATATTCTGTGAAATCTAGATAGTGAAAAAGGTTTTCCAATGGCACTTTTAAATCCAAACACTAGATGAATCAAAAGTTGGAATTAAGATTGCTGGGAGACAGTGGTGGTGAACCTATGGCACAGGGACTGGCCCCACCCACCCAGTCTGCCATGACTACCGCAGCCATGCCCACCTGGCACCCGGTGATAAATAAGTGGGCTTTGTGTTGTAGTTTGGGCATTGGGTCTCTAAAAGGTTTGCCATCACTGACCTAAGATATGCAGATGATACCACTCCTAGTGGCAGAAAGTGAAGAGGAACTAAAGAGCCTCTTGATGCAGGTGAAGAAGGAGAGTGCAAAAGTTGGCTTGAAACTCAACATTAAGAAAACCAAGATCATGGCATCTGGACCTCTCAATTCCTGGCAAATAGATGGAAGAAATGGAGGTAGTGACAGATTTTATTTTCCTGGGCTCCAAGATCACCACAGATAGGGACTGCAGCCAAGAAATTAAAAGATGCTTGCTCCTGGGGAGGAAAGCTATGGCAAATCTAGACAGCATACTAAAAAGCAGAGCTATCATCCTTCCAACCAAAGTGCGTATAGTCAAGGCCATGGTTTTCTCAGTTGCAATGTATGGACTATACGAAAGGCTGAGTGCCAAAGAATTAAGACCTTTGAACTATGGTGCTGGAGAAGACTCCTGTGAGTCACCTGGACTTCAAGGTGTTCAAACTGGTCAGTCCTAGAAGAGATCAACCCTGACTGGTCTTTAGAAGGCCAGATCCTGAAGTTGAAACTCAAATACTTTGGCCACCTAATGAGAAGGAAGGACTCACTGGAGATAGATAGATAGATAGATAGATAGATAGATAGATAGATAGATAGATAGATAGATAGATAGATAGATAGATAATCAATCTACAAGACATATTCTATAATGTCAATTATTTCTAACAAATAGCTGTTATTCTGAAATGATTTTATATTTCAAGGCAGCCTTTTCTTTATGCAGAGACCCTTTATAAGTGGGGTTAGGAATTTTATTTATATTTCATTTTGACATGTGATTATTCAGATTGTGTCTTCACAGTGTATCAGCAAAAAACTGTCAAAAATGGAGCCTACAAAATTCTAAATCAACTATAAAATGTGTCTCTTAAAATATTCCATATGACGGTTATCAGTTTTTTCTTATTTTTTATGCCAAGGAAGTTCCTGTGAATGGAAATGAGATAGTTGCTTAACAACTCATCAGTGCCTGCTGCTTTTTCTTCACAAGAAGTGATAATCTTTGATACCTCATAAGTATTGCTACAGCAGTCTGCTAGGATGCATCAAATAGAAGCAATTATGTTAGGAATAAGTATCATATGTATGCTAAAATATTTTTTGATGAGCTGTCCCTAAGAATATTAGGAAGAGAAATACAGACACATGTGCCATAATTCTAAGCTTTTTAAAAAAAGATATAGATGTAAAAGATTTTTCTTTTTCAAAAAAACTGCTGCAAAATATTACATTATTTAACATTAAACAGTTTCTTTATTAATATTGGAATATTAAAATCATTTCTACTCATATTTGGTAACTGATTTATAATGTGTTATTAGAAATTGATATTTATTAATGATCAATATAATATACCATATAAATCCATGGAGCACTTTATATTTGGAAACTAAAAGGATGCTTAGGGATATTCATGGAATATTTGCCCATTACCTTAAGGAAGCTTTTTTTCCTAAAATTATGAATTCCAAAGTATATTTTGTCTTCAGATAAATTACACACATTCATACTGTACATATGTACATACATACCTACATGTATTCAGATCCAATACTGATATCTGAATTCTTAGGTAGGATCATCCTCTCCATATTAGTAATTAAATTAAAATCATACACAATTAGGAAAATGAAAAATAGGTGTTTTTTTAAAAAGATTCTTGTATTTATAGCAACTCAAGACTCTATCAATATTATCCTTCACTTTAAAAGAAGTGGTTTTGTCTACTACATTAACAATAATGATATATATATATATATATATATATATATATATATATATATATATATATATATATATATATATATATATATATAACTATAAGGCATTCTCAGCATTTCTTGTGTAAATACAATAAACATGACTATACATTTGATAATATGTATTCTCCCATCTCAAAATATTGTAACAATGCAGGATTAGAGATCATCCTGCTTGCCCTGGTGCAAGGACAGCCCCAACATGAACCTATGCTTAGCCTGCCACAAAGGCTAATTATGACCATTTTTTTCTTGTTTGGGTCAAGGTTAATGTTTCTCAACCTCTGCGAGCACACATAATGCTGTGTTGTCTGCCTTGGTGTTAAGGTAGTTAAAGTATGTGTTCTAGTTAGATAGCATGTGTTATGGTGGGCACAGTCTCTCCCTTCTGGTTGCTGGTGTCATCCTGGGCTGCTTGAACAGTGAAGCACTGGGTATTAGTTTTTTTGTTCTTTTTAAGCCAGTGAACTGAAAAAAAATCTGACTTTTTAAATTGTCTTGACAGTAGTGAACCCACCTGTCTGCCTGCAGACTTGTGAAATGCTGAGCAAGCAGCCGGTTTATGGATCAGCCTGCATTAGAACTATAAGTCTTCCAAAGTCCTTTCCAATGTTATGATTTTATAATTGCTGAATGTTATTTATTCATGCAATAGAAACTATTTTCCCCTAAAGATCCACTCACAGAAATCGGTATTTGGCTTCTTGCCATGGGTAGGCTGCAAAAGAAGGCAGGGAAAATTCATTAATCAGTAGCCTCTGTTGGGACTGAAGGTCCAGCCAGAATCTGCCTAACTTGAAAACTGGACAGTAATTTCTTAAGCCAGCTTAATTTCTAGTTGAAGGCTGCCACATGGAATACCTTTGTCATATGTCATAAAATTCATTAATGTCAAAAATAAATTCAGTCATAATATTTAATGGAACTCCTATTCATTTCTGGGGATTTTCCTGAACATAATATTGTTTTAAATCTAATGCACTGAGATTATTAACGTTCTATAAACTGTTACATTTTTATTTAGAGCTATGAAGTCATAGCTTTGTTTATTTAATAAAGTGAAATATAAATAGGATTAAATGTGTTGGTACAACATTAGATGTATTCCTAGCATATAAGAAACTTCTTGGAATTTAGTAGTTCATTTTTTCATATACTCCAGTTTTGCCTGTTTTGATCTGCAAATACTTCCAGTATCTTTCACATCTTGTAACCTGCAAAAATATATAATTATAAGGTAATATTCATCTCAAAAGAAATATTATTTAACAAATATTTTATAAGTAATTTCAAAAGAAAGCTAGATTGTTTAAGATATATCATTTAAGATTGCTTGAGGAGGGGGTATCCTGATGCAGGCATGTGAAATATAATGTTGTACTTAAAACTAAAATAATAGCTCAATTTTATTTTATGCTGTTGGAGATAGGAGATCGGAGCTCATTTTCTCTAGATATATCCTTCAAAATGCTTGCTTTCTAAACTAGCTATATTCTTCCCTTTTCCTCCACTCACCCCAAATTTTATCTTAATTCTAGGATGAAGTCTGTCCAAAAACTGATGGGGATGAAGTCCAGCGATGTATCTGGGCATCAGCTGCTAATGTCAAGGATAAATTCATATATGTAACTCAGCCGACTTTGGACAGAGTGCTAATTGTTGATGTACAGTCTCAAAAAGTTGTGCAGGTAAGATAACTTATTATATAGTAATTAACTAATTGCTAAATGCTCATGTTTGAAGAAATACATTTTTTCAAAATATTATTCAGATAATGTACCAACTCATATTCAAAAGAAGAGCACAGGGCTCCTCACATATGCTTACCTCAGCTGTTGCCTTTCAGGTATTTGGGACTCAGAATTTCCAGCCTGTATAAATATTTTTGAGAGCTGTAGATTGAAACATTTGGAAGTTGGAATATAAAAGTTCTTTTATATTATGTTACACCTTGGAGATTTTATAGATTTAAATGGCGATACCTCCCAAAAAATATGTGGCATGAACTTTATTGTAAACTGCACATGTGAGGGATCTATGTTATACACTCTTCTTCCCCTCCAATCCCTGGAAAAATAGTCCTCCACAAAACCAGATCTTGGTGTGAAAAGGGTTGGGTCCACTAAGCAGTGGCCACTGTGTCAGGCTAACCTGGATTGTGAAATTCCAAAGAGCTTTTACTATTGTGTTGTTAGAAGGCTTCCAATAAGGCCTGAGAAATGCAAAATGTTTTTCAGAATTAAATCCATTTATTGTATTGTGCTGATATTGTTTTCTGTCAAGAGTGGTTAATAGCTTCCTGTAAAATACCTGTAAGCAGGGCTTTTTTGTCATAGAACGCCCAGAACAGAGTTCTGGCACCTTTTTTGGATGGAACCTTATAGGGTAGGTAAGGCGGGTTGTATGACATGTGTGAGTTCCGGCACCTTTTTTTTTTTTTTTTTTTTTACAAAAAAAGCACTGCCTGCAAGTATTTATTGTGAGTAACAAGACAATTTGTCTTCATTGATTATTGATTTGGTTTCTATTAGGTAAAACAGGAGCTTAAAATAAACAACATTAAATTTGCTTTTGTCATACCTGTTAGGAATTTGGAATTATACTTACAAGTCAGCTTTTAATTCCAGATGACAAGTATGATTAGATTGTCTATTTTTACTCAGTCCTAAAGCACATGTTTTTTTCAAAATTACTCTACTTTATAACCAAATCAGTTTAATGCAGTTTATCAGTCATATATTGTATCTTACTACATATTTTAGGACAACTCTATTCTTTTAATCTCTCCAGTCTTCTAATCCCTAGTGGAAGTATTAAAAAAATCTTGATAAGGCATTGCATATTGAATAGATATTATGCATGCTTAACAAACAAACATGTACAAATCAGTTGTGACAATAATAATAATAAAAACTGTGCTCACATGCTTTGACAAATCCTGTAACTGGAACATGATTCAGGTATCAGAATAATAAATAAGCTTTTTTATAAATTCAAGGAGAGATTATGAGTCAAAGCACATATATTTATATAAGGCAACTAATCTATGTTTTCTTGGAGTCAGTGGGAGTAGATGAATATTTTTTAATGATGAAACAATTTCATTTTTAAAAATGAGGCAAACTTGATTTCCATTTCAGTGTTAAAGCTAATTTTATTATTATGGTAAGATATTCATTTTGAGTGTGTGCCCCCCCTCTCTCTGTGTGTGAAAATATAGATTTTTCACATTTTGAAAAATGTTATCCAATGTAAATACTTTTCTGTATTACTTCTTTGAATATGAGCATTTTTGTGAATATTATTTTTTTTGTTGTGAAATGCATCATAAAATTTGGAAAACATACAAATGTCAAAATACAATTATGACCTGACTGATACATTGCTATAGAATTCAGTTTGCATTAAATTAAATTACCATGCCATCTTTCTGTAGAAGTAAATCTTACTGAATTCAGTGTAGCTTATATATGTACAGATATGCCTATTAATTATGGATTAAGGAGAAAATAATTAACTTCAATTTATCTAAGTTTATTGTCAATCAACACTCCAACTTTTACTTTCATTTATTTTTGAAAGTCACTTTTTTTCAATGCATTCTGCATTAAAGCAGCAGCCACAGTCTTATAGAAAAATCTACTCAGTTACTTACTTACTTATAGTGTGGTAACAATCATACAAATGTGTTCCTGAAAATGCTTTGCAAAATTGTGTAATGTCTGTCCCACTAGATAGACCAAATAAGAAAATCAACTGGACAAGATGGCTAAAACTACTTTCTGATTTGTTATAATAACAGAATCTTGCAAGTCTGACTGTGTGACAATACTCTTCATCCTTCACCCCATTCTTATATTCAGTGAACTAGGGAGGAATCTGCCTGATCTGTTCCCAAATATTATCTTGATTTTAAGATATTTAAAAATGCTTTAGTCCCTTTGTCTACAGATCCTTCATATCTTTGTCAGTCATATTTCTTATGAATGTACTCTACATTACATTAGGTAATTGCTAATAAAAATGCATACACTAAAGAACAGCAAGCTTTAGTATGAAATTGGGATGAATGAGAACATTGGAAACTGGAAAGAAACACTACCACAAGTCTACTGATTTACTTATTTTTGCTTTTGACATTAGCATAAAAGAAATTGGGCTCAACAAATTGCTGGAGGCTTTTGAAATTCTCTAACTGATTTGTGGACCAGAGAAATTGTGTAGGCAAATCTTCCAGTAAAGGACAAAATTCTCCAGCAATTTCTCATGAACAACTTTTTATTTAGCATTGACAGTAGCTAAGCTCAAGGGAGAACTTAAAAGGGTAGAATATCCTTAATAATCTATTCCTTTAGGATTTAATAAAAACATGGGAAATTGAAAAGACTATGCAAGAGATAATAATGTATTTAAAACTGGACAGTCATACAAATTCTTTGCCATTTCACTAATGCTAATCAAATATCAGAATATCACACTCTGCCCATTTCCCTTTGACATAATTTCTAAAGCAGCCTATTATAATCTAGTTTTTTTAAAAAACTGCATAATATTTTTCTGCTCAGAACCAATTTAGACTATTACAGTAATGGATTAAAACATATACATTTGCATTTGCAGAATAAAGTATAAACAACTATAAAGAATAAAGTATAACAATTCAGAACTGTAGATGTTGTTTTCCTTTGGGTCCTTAGTTCATCATATAAGTTCTGCATTTTTGTGCATTTACATAAATAAATGCAGTTCATGCATGTTCATGATATACATACATTTATGAAAAAATTATTTATATAACATATTAAACAAAGAAACTAATTACAAATGTTTAAAAGTACTATAATTAGATAAGTTTCAGATTTAGAAGTTTTCATCCATGACAAAAGAAAACCAATTAAAACCATCCAGAAAAATGTTTTCAAAGTTTTGCTCTAGGGAAAAAAAATCATTTATCACTTTGTATTGAAACACAAATAGTGATCTAAAAATGGGATATTTTAAAATATGTTACTGTAACTTTTCTTCAAACAGTATTTTTCACTGCATAAATAAGCATAAAACATTTAATAAGCAGCTGTGTTCTTCATAAAAATAGGGAAAAAAGGGAAAAAAAGAAAATCAATTTGATTAAAAGTGTCCAGGAAAGATTTGTCTTTAACACTTTCCAGTGCTCAAAAATTTTCTTTATACATTTTCTTTATAACATCACAAATAGTGTACACAATTAGATATGGGGACTTTTAATAAGTGTAATGTGACAAGTTAACATTTTGATTACTATAATTTATTATAAAAAGTTATAGAGATGAAATATCATACCACTCAGCAACATAATTATTTTTTTAAAAAAAGTTAGAAGAATCAGATAGTTCTAGTGCATGTAATTTATATTATGTAGATATAAATAATATGCATTGTTTCTATTTTTTACTTGGTGTTTGTGAAGTTCAAACCAAAAAAGGCTTTGAAATTTGAAGTGCAGAAAGATCTGTATTAGAATATACAACATTATTTCAGTATAACATTTATTGCAGTTTACATTGGCTGTACTCACAGCCTTTCTCTACCTGAATGGCACACTATATTTTTATCTATATTTTGAAAAATAGAATAGATATGCACATTACCATGAGAGTGAAAATTACCCCCAAACATGCATGTCATGGTGAAGAGAATGAAACAATGTTATTTTGTTAAAATATAACTAAATACATAAGAAAAGTTGTTTTAGAATGCAGTGTTACACTTGTTATGCCAGATTAAATTCATTGTTACCCTATAATTATTTCTCCCAAATTCTTAGGTAAATATATTATAAAATTAAATTAAAATAAAATAAAATAAAAACAATGGTCACACATACATATAAACCAATGGAATGTATAAACTGCACTGAGAGATCATACCCAAATGAAAATACTGCAGTGGAAAAAAATGACTAAGAGCTGAAAAAAAGTGATGTAGTAGGCTATTCTATTATTTATGATGCAGCTTTATCCCAGCTCCAAAAAGGCACAAAGAATTTTCCACCATGGCAATAAATCTTTTTGAAAAAGAACTTTGCTCATATCAATAACCATCCTGCCATGTCACTGCAGAAAATATATACACTGCATGGTTATGTCTGTGAAGAGTATAACACTGAAAGACTACTGTTCAGATGATGAGGTCTGCACATCTAGCCTTATAGTGTTCAAACTTAGAACTCCAAAGGAAGTGGAATACATATTGGAAAAAGTACTCTATAGTAAACACTTTGATTGCAAAACACACAGGAACATATAATATACTTTGGGCAGCTTGAACATAAACCTGTTATCAGGTGGCCTGTGCGTTGATATGTATTTCTATAGAACTTACTTTTTTGTACATTTGTAGATAAATCCTGTTTTGTTTTGTTTTTTTGGTTGGTTGATTTTATTATCTCTTTCTTGTGGAAAGTAGTAGAATGCTTTGCTTTGGTCATTGGATTATTTGAAACAGGAATATATTGAATATATTTATCTGTGTTTTGAAAGTAGCCACATAGGGACTCTGTTCTGCTTCTTGCTGATGTCTTTGTGGCTGTTCTGTGTTGGACATTTTCCAGTTCTATCTGCATAACTTAGCTTTCTACATATAACATTTCAAGAAATGAAGGAAAAGTGTCACAGTATTTAATTTCTTTGTTAAAATGATATAAAAAGGA